AGATAATTTTAACGATTTTTTCTCGCGCGCTAAAAGCTTTTGCTCGCCACGATCGATATCTACCCCCTTTCGAGAATTAAGTGTACTCTCACTTCGCATCTTCTGCACTTCTGAGTGCAGAAGGCGCGAGCGAAACGATCGGCCCCCCTGATTGGTTCGCGTCTCTGACCGACCGTTTCAAAAATCAATTTGGCGCCTCGATAATTTTACAGTGATGGAATGGAGTCGTGACTGGTCGTGACGAATGCGGAGTCGCGTCCGGATCGTCCCGGTGTTTCTCGCCGACGCGATGGTCGGAAATCGAATCCCGCACGCGAGGAACCGTCGCGCACATCTCTCGCGTCGAAAACGTTTGTCGTGATTCACCGAACGTGTCGCGCGCGATCATCGACATCCGACGATCCGACATCGTCGTTGCACGCCGATCTGACGAGCCGCCTCCGGGTCGTTCGGCAAAATCCACCCCGTCGAGGGACTCCTCGGTTGTCTTCTCTGCCGAGACGATGCCAATCGACGCGCGAGCATCACCGGGTACGTATAATATATACGATTTTGTAATTATTTGCGTCGGTGTTATGTCATTTTTGTGGCCCAAATATTTTGCGAATTGCTAAAAGCAAGTTTATTGGATTCGATTATAATTAAAGCAAATGGCGGCGCCTTTTTGTGGCTTCGTGTCCGGCCAAAATACAAGATCTTTCTCGAAGTATGAGAAAATTGTCTTATATTTTTTCTTTTGTTTTTTATATCATATATTTTATGACAATTTAAAATTTTTTTTAAATATAATGTATTAAATTCCACATGCACATTTCTGATTAATTATTATTACGGAGATAAGTGCTAGCAAATTTTCGTAGTTCAATGAAACTCGGAGATAATTGAAGTTCTCATGGTTCTCAATCAATTTTATCGACTGTCGATACATTTTTTTTTTATCGCGTTGATATAAAAATGCAAAAATTCAGCGCAGTGCGGTATGAATTTCACGACATATATTATTACGCAGATACTTTATAAGCATGCATTTACAACGCAATATTATACATTGCCGCAAAACTACATTCTTTTTTCACAGATCATTAAATGAAAATAATAAAAATAAAAATGCAATTTTAAATAAAAATTGAATATTATTGTGTCGTAAATATATGTGCTCGTTTCAGAATAATAATAAATTAATGTAATAAGATTAATATCATACTATGAGAGCTAATCATTTGAATTTTCATAGTCACGCTGACTTCTTTGCGATTGTCAATAATCTTTAATAGACACTTTTGAGTCTTCTTGATAATCATGAGATATCATTTTAGAATTCTAAAGTATCATTGGTGCTATTTCGATTTTTCTCGATTGATTACTTTACCGACGTCTGGAAATTACTGTAATGCCAAATATACTTTCAATCCAAAATAAATTGCTCTAATTTATAATTTCATCATTCAAATATCATAAACGATTTTGCGTGTTCAATAATAGATGGCAGAAATATCTCTTCGTTTAATTTTTCCGCGGTTCGTCTGCCTCCGCGAACGTTCGTGGCGTCGGCGCGCGGCGGTGACGGCGCCATTTGCCGAGGCGCGGCGGAAACAGCCGAGAGTGCCGAGCCGCCGAGTCACGTGACGCCATGATACGTTCATTCGCAAGCCGTTGGCCGCCACCGCCGCCGTCGCCGCCGCCGGCCGAAATTACGACGCCAAGTTAGTAGCGCGCTTAGTTTCATTCATGAACGTTAGGAACGCGCGGCCATAATACCCTCCTGTAATCTGTGTATTGTGTATACACCGCGTCGCTCGTTGCGTTAGTGCCGCTGCCGATGTGCGTGCGTCTCGCCGTCGTCGTCGTCGTACACGTGATTCCCGCATTGCCTCGCGTTTTTGCATGGTGCTACCCGTGTGCGACCGTACCACCGGCTGGAAGTTATCAACGATAGACCCGCGGGACACCAGCTAGCGACGAGACAGGTGCGTGCGAGAGAAAATGCGACGATTCTCGGCCAAGCGAGCTGAGCGACGCAAGTCGCCGCGCTGTTCTTCCGCGGGACCGGTCGGCGATCGGTCCCGTGGTCTCTCTTTCTCTTTCTCTCTCTCTCTGTCTCTCTTTCTCGCTCTCTCGTCGGCCCTGTGTGTCATTGGCGATGTTGGCGATCCGTTTGGAGCAGCGTCCGTGACGTTTATCTTCGCGTCCGTGTTCGGCTCCGCTTATGAATGGATCATAAAGAATGGAATTCCTCGGCCGCCGGCGCGGCGCGGTCGAGTTTTTAAAACTCGAGCGCCCCGATTAGAGCTAGTTTCAGGGCGATTATTTATGCGAGTTCGCGCCGACTTCGCCTCGGAGCCTTCGGTCCGCGAATATCACGCGTAAATATAACATCTTTTTTTGTTTTTGCGATCGAAGTAGATCGCGCGCGGGTGGTTTCGTGATTTGGCGGAGCGTCGTCGAATTCGGAACGCCTTCTCGCATCGCGTACGTCGCATCGGGATTCTAAAAATAAGAGCACCTTCCCACAATCCCCCTTTCTGTTTTTAAATATTCGTCGTGGTAATGCGTGGATTATAATACGCAGGGAAAATACCTAGAAAGTGTATGAAGAATACAGTAGAAAATGGAAATTTGTTACTCCGAATTGGATACCAATTGGTACCTAATTGGTATGAAAAACATTTCTTTAATTACACTTTTTTCGCATTAAAAAGAAGATACGCGTAGCTCAAATCGTGAAGAAATATACTTAAAAAAAATGTAAAAAGCGTAAAAACTGTTAGATTTGTTATTCCGAGTTGATATCCAAAAATTGTCTTTAATTACACTCCTTTTGTATTGAAAAGAAAATACACATAGCTCAAATTGTGAAGGAAAATGTCAAAAAATATATATAAAATCGTAGAAACTGAAACAATTTAATTTTGGCAAGCTGTTTTTCTCGCAGACGCAGTCTATATGAAATTATCGAGAAATCGATGACTGTTATAAATAACTGTCGTTAAGGCTGCTCTATCCCTGATTTTCAGGATATTAATCTTACGTTAAGAATAGAAGAAAAATCGAACGGTGCATTCGGTTATCGTTGGTTCGTGAAAAAAAAATAAAACAAAATAAAACAAAACTTTATTTCTCATGCGACTTGTGTCATGTTTGTGTTACCTCGCGAAAAGGTTTATTTCGCCGATTTCGCGAGCCTCGTGACTATACGAAATCGAAAAAAAAAAAAAAAAAACAATCTTACGCTGAAATAGCCTTATCGCGAAATAACAATGAAACCGACTTTGATAACGGGAAGGCAGGCAATATAATGTCGCCCGCTGTGTAGCGAGGTTATCATTAATATAAAGGGTCAATTTAGAATATAGCTAAAGGCCAGTTAGACGAGACAAACTTTTTGCCATTAGTGCTCGAGAGGCCGCACGACATAAATCGTGATAGTGAACGTAAATCGACCGTGATTTGAAATCTTTAGCAAAAGACCTGTTTTACCTCGGCTCTCTCTCTCTTTCTCTCTCTCTCTCTTACGCCCACGAATTAACTGTCAATATATTTCATAAGTCAACTTTGCAGCCGTCGGGTAAACTCAATTGGGGTTCGATTGATTCTTCGACCTTTTCGAGATTCTACAAGTTTACTTTAGTTATTGCGATATAGTTATTATCAATATACATAAATATATATTTATCGCTATTTGGAAGTCCTTTTATCGCCGATAATAAAGATGATTTGAAATAATGTAAAGTCTCGTAAAAGAGGATAAAAGAGGAATGTGCATTGCATCAGACGGAGGTTTTTGCAGGATTTCTCGGGTCTCGAGATCACGGTGCGGCAACGTCGCGACTTGTCTTCTTTCATCTCACCATTCCTGTCTCACTTTCTCTCTTCTTTCTTCGTCTTCTTCATGTTTCCTTCCTTTTCCTTACAGTTTTCGTTTGCCGAGACGACGACGACGACGACGACGGACGGTGACAAAGAAGGAGAACGGTTCGTAGAAAGTGACATGAAGACACGACGCTTGACTGACCCGAAACAGGAGCGATGTTCTTCGATAAAGGACCGACCTGAGAGTTCGACCTTTTCCACAATGAATCTGAAAATGTCCAAATATCGATGTTTAACCTCTTCGGGAATGCAGACAGGTAGATCCAGACAAATAGATTCGATATAGCGATCTGCGATAATTCGACGAATAATTTTATAGAAATACGAAGCTGAAATTGACAAGCCGTTTTAGAGAATTTTTATAGGATATCTTATGTGTATCAAGAACTTTTTGAATAAGTGGTAGGCTGGTAAAATCGAAATTTTCAATATTGACTTATGAACGTTTGGCTTGTTGAAGTTAATTTGGGCCGCAGAAGGGGCTAATTTGCGAATGGATGATGAACTACTTGCGATCCATCTAAAATCAAAAGGATGATTCATAATTTTCCTCTGGGCTATCAAAGATGTTGAGTTTGGCATACGGGTGCGTACGCGCCAGATATAACGTGAAAGGTTCGTCTGCCCGCATGTGGAAACCCAGTAACAGCCCCTTAAAAGATATTACGTTGCTCTCAATAAGATTGAGACAATAGACACTCCACTTTTGCGACGGGCGGGCTACTTTGGGCACGTATTAATACACTCGCGTTATTTGAGCGTTCGAGGATATTGCGCGTTAATGTTAGAACGCAATAACGTTATCATATTCTAGAGCGTACAGCAATAATTGATAATGAATTGAACTAAATGAAAAACGCTTTCAAACGATGATAGGTATACTTATAAATGTAATAGTGATTAAAGTGAATTTCTACGATCTAGAAAAAAATCGAAATATCAGTTAAATACCAATTAAATTTATCTGGCAGCTATAGAGTTGGCTTAAAAAATAATATTGACAATAAATGCCAAGCACTGTGATAAGAATTATTTAAATATTACGCGAAACATTCGTTTGATTGTAAAATTAGAATAATATATATAAGAATATATATATTTATAAATATTAATA